AATGAAAAGATTTTTCAAGAGGTGTCTGTGCAGATGGCGGTGCAGGGCTTCCATCGCACACCAAAACAAAGAGGAAAGCTTAAAAAACTAATAGTTGATGGTGAGTGTATTTTATTTACTTTAAGCATATTTCCTTTTCCTCATGCAACCGTTTCTTTGCGTTTTCTGAAAGTACTCTGAACGAACGAGGCTGACGCGGTTACGTCGTCATTAGTTAGCATCATTGCTAACTGTACTCTGTTGCTGTTTTTCCACTCTTATTTTGATGCAGAAAGTCCCACTGAACATGAAGGTTCGCCAGATTCTGCTTTTGACTGTCCAATCCTCCCCGCTTCTGACCCTTCCCGACCACACCAGCTCCGAGTACATCTACACCACCGAGTACATCTACACCACCGGGTACATGCACGCCACCGGGCAACACGCAGCAGAGCGGCACCAAACAGCACCCGTTACTAGGTAAGAAGCAACAATCGTGTTTAACATCACATTGATCATGTTGATATGAATGTTGTTTTGTTTTTGTTGTAAAACACCTTGCATGTATTCAAACTACTTGTTTATTCAGTTGTAATGTATAAATGTTAAATTTAATTATTCATTTATTACTTAAACTTTCATTTCTGAAGTTTATTATTGAAATTATACAGGGTGTAGTGATTTTTGTTCAGATTAACGATGCTCTGTTCTTTTTCTAAATTAGCACAAACCGTTGTAAATGACTACATGTAGTTTATTTATGCCCACCTGCTTACTATCATTAAAGTACTAGACTGCTTTATGAACAGAATCATTTCTGATCTTGTGAACAAACACCTTTTGAAATTAGCAGGAACTTTAATGTAAATAATTTATATAAAAACTCTACCTGTACTTCATCATCTAACAGCCATTTTCTTGTGTGTTATTCCTAGGCAATAGAAAGCGCAGATCGACAAGTGCAGCAGAGAGCTTTGTTTCTGCACATACAGAACAAGAGGAGATGAACCGGAAGCAGAGAGAGGAACACTTCCATTTTATTTGTGAGGATGCCAAAAAAGCAAGGCAAGAAGAAGCTGCAGCAGCGAGGAAGCAGGAGAAAGCAATTAGGAGGGAGGCGATGGCCTTGAGGAGAGAGGAAGCAGATGTTCGCAGAGAGGAAGCAGCACAGCGAAGGCAGGAGGCTGAACAGAGTGCTGCTTTCAGTCAGGCACTCCTTGGGGTGCTGGAATCCATTGCCCGTTCCATGGCAAACAGACATGTTTAAAAATATTTAGAGTAGATCATAGTTGATCTATAGAAATGTAGATCCTGCAAGGTAAGCCCACAAATAGCCAAACGTAGCTTGTTAAGGTTGCATATATAATTAGTGTATAATTGTTTTTTTTTTGTACAGGTCTTTATTTCTAATAAAAGAAACATTTTCAAGTCTTGAGCTTCCATCTGATCATCAAAAGTGAAGTGCTTACAGTGTTTTTTTACGTCAATAGTGTAGATAAGTGAAGTAATTGTTTTTTACCTGTAACAATGCTGGTGAAGATTCTCAGTTATCCTTGACACGGCAAATCCCCCCCAAAAAATATAAAAACAAAACCACAGGACTTTTTTTAAAACTCCAAAAAGTCCAGTATTTTTATTTATGTATTTTTTTTGGTTTTATCTGTAATGAGTACTGAAAAACATAACCATAATACAGAATGTCCATGTGTTGTAAATGAACATTGCAGTGGAGTTAAAAAGGTGTAGGACTTGTGTAATCTACGTTTACAATCATCCTCATTCAGGAGGTTTTCAGTCATTGCATGTCAAACACCTCGGCCATGATGTCCATCCTGTGGATCCAGCAACTTCTGCATCTTTTTCTCCCAAGGTCAAAAATTCTCTCCACGACTTTCACTGTGGTACAAAGGAGCACTAACTTAATATTACTTAACAGCACTTCAATCATGAAGATAATTTGCGACAGCTTAATTTAAAGAGCTGCGTGGTAAGCATAAGCTCTGAAAGAGTTGTTAAATATCAAATCAAATGTAGGTTATTATGTAATGTACGTAATGTATATATATATATATATATATATATATATATATATATATATATATATACACATACATACATACATATATACAAATCAAATTACAAAAAGACTATTGATCCCAGAGGGAAATTAAATGTAACTCATCATCCTGGTTTCATTAAAGAGTTGTTCTAGATGCTGATGCTGTGGGCAGGAAGGATCTCTTGTAGCATCTGTCTTACAAGGGATCTGAAGAAGTCTCTGGCTGAAGACATATATATATATATAAATATTAAAATAGATTAATGTATATATGCATAAACAAATATAAAGTTCTTGTTGTAGGTTTTGGTTCTTTGTTAAAAACAAAAATTAAGGAGTATACAGTTTTTCTAAAACTACAGCCAGTAAAAAACGCAGCATATGTGATAGAAGCACAGCAGCAGTGTTTGTTTTGCCATTTTTACACGAACCTGGTAATAAGGCATGTCTGTACATTAAACAAACAAGAATAATTATTAATCCATGTTTATTTTCAAATCAACACTTTAACGTTCACTTGTATCTAAGGAAGGCTGGGGAGGTAAAAAAAGATTAAGGGGTGGAATTAGGATAAGTTACAGCTCATGAGGGACTCCATCAGAGCATCTCTGACACCTCGGCCCTGCTCTCCATCTTGTGGGACAGCGACCAGGACGGGCTGTGCGGCTGGTTCTGCTTCAAGTTCACGGAGGTCATCCATTTTGGTTGTGTGTTGTTTTCCAGCTCTTCTTCTAATACATGTTAGTGGTGCTTAGAAAAGAGCTTAATGTAGCACTACTGCCACCAGCTGGTAAGGTGCGTTGATATTAATAATCCGCCCACTAGAGGTGAACAATCCGCCCACTAAACGGGAACTATAGGCAAAGTGGAGACACAAAAATAGAGGTCCCACTAGAACCGGACACAACAGGCTACAACAAGAACCAGACCTGTGGATACCAGGCTTAAACAGCCTCTTCACAGACGCATGGCTCAACACAGGAGAGCCAGCTCCACAGGACAAGATTTAGCTGTTCACCTCCACCTCACAGATAAGGGACACTCTTTTGAGGACCAAAATGTACACATTTTGGACCGAGAACACAGATGGTTTGAGAGGGGGGTGAAGGAAGCAATTTATGTAAAAAGGGAAAAGCCATCTCTTAACAGAGGAGGAGGCCTCAGATTTCAACTTTCAAAAACCTATAATGCAACTTTAAGACAGATTCCCAGCCGGTTTTCACACCTGATGGGAACAGAGGGGCCTCATCTGTGAATTAGAGTAACAAAGACCTTAAGAAACCCTTACTGTTAAGGTGTTGAGGTGTGACTTGTCAAATCTACATATGTGTGTGTGTCTTATCTCACTCAGCCTTATAATCTGAATCTCTCACTTACTGCTCATTGAATTGAGAAAGCTCCTCAGATGAGGAGCGAAACGTCTTCTGTTACAAATAAAGTCCAGTTGTTTTTGTATTGAACGTTTTTTGAATTTATCATGTCCTGGATGACTGAGAATCTTCACCAGCATATGTTTAATAGTGAAAGTAAGAGCATTTCCACATGCACAATGCGAAGGGAACTCAAGGGATTGGGACTCAACAGCTGTGTAGCCTTAAGAAAACTACTAATCATTGAGGCTAACTGGAAAAAAAGGCTTCAATTTGCTAGGGAGCATAAAGAATGGACTCTTGAGCAATGGAAGAAGGTCATGTGGTCTGATGAGTCCATATTTACCCTGTACCAGAGTGATGGGCGCATCATGGTAAGAAGAGAGCCAGGAGAAGTGATGCACCCATCATAGTTAGTGCATAGTCATCAATGCAAGATCTTTGTGAAAAATTAATGCAACACTGGATGGAAATAGATCTTGTGACATTGCAGAAACTTACCGAAACAATGCCACAGCAAATGCATGCTGTAATCAAAACTAAAGGTGGTCCATTGAAATATTAGTGTGTGACCTTTTTTTTTTTTGGTGGTGACTATTTTTTTGGCCAGGCAGTGTATCACCGTTTACAGCTGTGAAGTCCACCGAGAAGGGTATGATTCCTCCTCCTTGACCGAACCACATCATTTGAGGTTTTTATGGCATTTAAAGACAAATTTGTCAGAAAAGGCCTGCTTGATTTCAAGAAAACCACATGCATGGGACTTCACAACCTCATCCAGAGTAGAACCAAAAGCATATAAAATAGTATCATCAGCATATAAATGAATGGAGGCCTCACTAACGGATTGCAATATATCTTTTATAAATATGGAGAAAAGAGTTGGACCAAGAATGGAGCCTTGGGATACACCTGACATAACCGGAAGAAACTGTGAAGTATGAGAGTCGACCTTCACTTGCTGTGAAGGTTGACTTCCCTTGACTGTCCCTTTTAGGCACAATACCTGTTTCCCAGCAACATGGGCTTTTAGAAAGAAAATGAGCACAGAGGGGAACTCCCCTCAGCTGGGTTTACATGGTGCATAACTCATTAAATATGTGATGGATGTCTCCTTTGTAGCTTTTTAAAACATTTTATCTCAGCACACCAATCATGGTTTAAAATCCTTGGTTATTGCAAAACATACCAATATATTTTCCTAACAAGCAATCCGTAATAAATCATGTTTTTTTTTCTTTGTGTGTCCCTAAAATAGGTTTATTCTCCAACAAGGCATTGCAACATTAGTCTTGCCTGCTACATGTTCCAGTCTGTAAAAATAAAAACATTGAGTGATGTTAATTGGGAAACTGGTAACTCAAAAATTTTCACTATGAGTGAATGGTTGACTCGTTTGTCTTTGTAAGTCCCAGTGATGGTATTTAGACCTGTGCAGGGGTACCCTGCCTCTCTGCTAGAGATAAACATCAGCTGGCATGTGACCCAGAAAGGAAATGGGGTTAAAAGAAAATGGGTTGATTGACTTTGTAATTTTATGCAGTTGTCCTAGAAATTAGTTTTTACTAAGTGAACTTGTTTTTGTTTTGAAGGTCCTGTGTATTCGTATGACAAGTCCACATCTACCTGTATCACCACTCACGTTCTGCTGTCTGACCCATATGAGAGCAAGAGGTAGGTTAGTTTTCTGTGATGCCCCACACTGACAGGTGACAGGTGCTGAACTTCATTTTTGCTGTTTGAATCAGGGTGTTTGTGGCTGAATCTTTGATCAGAGGAGCTGGACAGGGATTGTTCGCCAAGACAGACGCAGAGCCTGAAACTGTGATGGCTTTTTACAATGGAATCCGCATCACACACTCTGAGGTACACGGATTTTATGTAAAACAATTGTTTCTTTAAAACACGTGAATAGTTATTTCTTTTTAGAAACTGTTGTCTTTTTAATTGTAAAAGGAAACTAGGTTTACAAAGTAGACATCTGAAAAGCTCTACTAAAAGGTTTAAAGATGTTTCTTTGTCAGAGGGGATACATAGTCCCTCTAGAGAGATTCAGGTCTAAGGATTGGGCTCCTTCCACTGGGACATGCACAGAAAACATTTATAGGAATGTGTCTTAATTATACACACAAATCGCCTTGGCTGGCTCCTTTTTAATATGTAAAAGCAGCATATCTATTTCAAACTCTGCTCCCTCCTGATGATGGAACTCCTCACTTTTTTTCTAAGGCTGAACCTGGCCGCCCTGTGGAGGAAGATCATTTCAGCTGCTTGGAGCAAGGAACATTTTGTTTTGGTCCTGATCAATACGTCATGACCATAGGCTATAGCTAGCATGTAGATGGACCAGTAAATTGAGAGTTTTCCATAAAGCTCAGCTTCATTCCAACAGATCGGAGCAATGCCCTCCTTACTGCTAAGAAGGCCCCAATCCCTTATCAATTCTCACTCCATTCCAGTGGGATGTAAAAATGTGTATGGTACACATGTGCAACGTGGACTGAGAGACCCTTCTTTGTAAATCCAACCATACTTTGTCACTGCAGCCCTGTTTTGTCACACAGGAGTACCCTTCTTTGTAGCATAGGGATTTTTTGGTGACCCAACCTTTTTTTCATGACCAGCAATCGTCATCCTTGTCATACCATTTTTATGTATTGAACAGATTGTTGAAAGCGACTACAACTTTATTGTTGAATCATGTCTTATTATTTTGAGCATTTTCACAAAACATCTGCTAAAAGAATCCTGTTTTTAAGCTGCCCCTGACCATTAATAAGTCACTGATCAAGTGAGCCATGTCTCCCATAGAAGGAAAAAAGAAAGTTTCACAGAACCATATAGACAGTGAGCAGAGTTAATGTGTTCACAAGAGACATTTCACAATAATTGTCATTTTCCTCAAACTGTTGCTAAACATGATAAATTAGCTTGGTTAATGATCCTTTAACCAAAATTTTTACTAAAATGTAAAGTTGCTGCGGCTTCATCAATGATCTCTGTAATAAATCTGTTTATTGTTCCTTAGACTTTTAAATTTGCAGCAGGTTTTGCACAGACTGTGTTGTTACTAAGTCACAAAGTTGCTAACCTTTTTCACATGTTGTAAGATGTTAAGTGATAGAACTTTATTGATCCCGCAGGAAATTATTGAAAGGAGCCAGTTACGCCGCTGTTACTACCTCGCTTTGTGGATTGGCTTCAGACAGACAGAAAGAATCTCAGTCCTAGCTTGAAATGTTTAGTGAAAATTAGGCCTGTCACATAACAAATTTTGCTGGGCGATTATTTTTCTCAGAAATTATTGCGATAAATGATACATTTTTTTAAATTTGACAGTAATTAATAAGTATTGTAAAATTAAGAAGAAGTGTTGGTTAATTTGTTTTGAGTGTAGTACCTTTTTTGACCACTGGATGGCAGTATGACTGCTTGAACCGAAGGATGGTTAGTGAGGGAGCGAGCAGCGTGTCTCTTTAAGAAAAATGGGAGGGAGGCCCCTTGACGTCACATGGGCTGTCTCCTTCCTTTTTTTGGTTCTCAAAATGGTGGTTTGAGTTCTTTAGCATAGCATTTTTCACACAAAGCTTTTAATAAAAATCGGTAAACAAGTTCTCAGCTTCTTTTTGCAGAGAAAAACAACTTTTTACACAAAGGCACGAGTTTCAACTTTGAATTTTGGAGCTTCGACAAGACAGGTTTTTTCAAGAGGTCGGCCTGTTAGCTTAGCTCGTAGCTTAGCTTCTCAGCTTAGCTGCTGTTAACAATCCACAAACATGATTTTGGACGGTTAAAATGGATTTTAAAGAGAAAGGGAGGGGTCAGTGAAGAGCACCGGAGTCGAGTCTTTTGTCATCCAGTGTCTTCAGTAGAAAGAGACATGAAGAAACGATAAAGCCAATAAATGAAAATGAGGCTGATAATAATAATGATAATAATACATAGTTCCCACACATGTGACCGGTATTGCGCAATACTAGGTTTTCTGCCATTTGTTGAGACGCATGTGAAGAAGATGGATTACAGACAGACCAGAGCTCAGTATATTGATACTCTTGACCAAGAGCAAGATATAGGCATAAAATAGCTGCGATCCCTATGAGGTGGAGAAAGAAATTATGTCAGACAAAACAGACAAGTTGTCACCGAGAAGTTACTTTGATATTGTTAATTATTTAGTGAACACGAGGAGTGCCTACAACGGAGGAGCTTCGCAGCTTTAAATCCACGGATGCTTATAATCAATGACAGATTTATGAAGGACATCTGATCTCTTCATGTTAATAAAGTTCTGGTGACTGGCAGAGTAAGTAGTTACAATAATATACACGTAGATGTCCCTTATAGCTTGCTACATGCTACATCAGCTAAGCTAATCTTTGCTACATTAAAGTTCGCTGATCTTTAATGTAGCAAAGATTAGCTTAGCTGATGTAGCTTGTGCTACAGTAAATATCTACTTGATGTAGTTTGTGCTACAGTAAATATCTACTTGATGTAGTTTGTGCTACAGTAAAGATCACTGATTATTTCTCACATTACTATATTATTTATTTTGCCTATGACTGCCTTTCATACTTAAATTAGTGGTAACAAAATAAATTATTTGTCATTATTGCTCAGTCATAGTATTTAACGTGCTACAGTAAATGTCACTGGTATTATTTATTTTCCACTGTGACGGAAAAATTACAATTTGGTAACTCCTTTTAATCCATTGGTTAAATGTTGTTTTAAAACCCTGAAACAAGAACAGCATTTTAATTGTTTTCCTCCTTTGTGTTGTATTTCTGTGTAAGGTACTCCCAGAAGATGGATGGAACTCCCGTCCAGAAGTTGTGTGCAGTCGTGCACCACAGCAACAAATGAGTGAAAATATAATTTCTATAAACGACTCTGCTTTTCAAGTACATTTAGTGTGGTTGTGAAACATGCATGTGCGTGTGCTTACCTTTAGGTTGAATAAAACAGTTACACCAAGTTTCACCTTCTTTATTTTAATAATTAATAAGATACTCTTTTTAATCTCCAATACTGAGAAATAGTTTCATTGTAAGGTCACCTCTACTAGACATTATTCTACTGCACATAAAAAAAAAACCTAGGTGTAGTGATTGTTCTTTGGCAACTTACCAGTTTAGTATCCTGATGCATGCTCAATAATCCAGGTAGAAAAATGCAAAAATGTTCAATCTGGTCCTCTGGACATTCAAAAAAAACAAAACAAAGCAAAAAAATATAGAAACGTTTCGTCTCTCAT